GCTGTGAAACAGCTCTCTGGATTTTCCAACTCACTGACACTGGCAAGGAAGCCATCTGGGCCTTTGGGGTTAGCGTGTGTGTGTGTGTGTGTGTAATATTCAGATTAAACAAGGGCTCAGGATAAGTTTGCATTTCTATGACTGTATTTCCCAACACTTGGTTAAACATAATCACTTAAACGGTTTATCAGCACAATACCAGGGCATACCTTATATTTTCTCATACTTGCTAGTGATTATAAAATTTATTTTTATTGCTATACTAATAAGATTCCAGGCTAATGCCCACAATGTTATTTATGTAGCCTCTATTGTAGCCTTTATTGTGCCTTGTTAGATTTTTTTTTATCCTGTATTTGATTAGTCGTGTAATATTAAACATGGCTCTTTGCATCGGTAAGCATTTATTAAGCACCTACCTTCTAAGCCTATATATAAGGTGCTGCAGGAAAATAATGTGTTCAATGTAGCGTTTTTCCTCAAGTTACTCACAGCCTAGAGTGGGTGGCAGGCTTGTGATTCATCAAAATACAATGTACTAAGTAATAAGATTAAGGTAAATGCCAGTACTCTGACAATGTAAGATGCCCACCATACTCGGATAGGAAACGCTTTTAAGAGAAATCATGCTAAACTACGTTTTGAAAGTGTCATCCTAGTTTTCCATAAATGGAGCTAAGTGAAATGTAGATGAGATAAGAGACTCATACTGAAAGGAACCTTGAAATGACATATAATGAATTTGGATTTTATCCTGAATTCAGTGAGAAACCACTGAAAATTTTAAACAAAAGAGAACAAAAATCAAGTATGCATTTTCAAGAAATTCCTGTATTGACTTTGTTGGGGATAGATAAAAGGGAAACAGACTAGAGACAGGTAAACAGGAAAGGAAACTGTTGAAATAAACTAGGAAATAAACAGATTCCTCTGAAGTCTCATGGTTGGAAGACAGCATGGTACCACTGGCTAAAGCCAAAATTCTGGCCAACAGGCTTGGGCTCAGATGCACCTTACAACTTACATGATGCTTGAGTGTACATGATTTTAGGTTGCACAGCCTCATTCAGTTAAAATAAAAAATAAACCCAGTAAGGTTAGTTGAGCTTATGGGGAACTTATGGTAAGGAGTGGGTGTGTAACAGGAACTCAGACAGCCAGGAACTTGCCGCACTTGCCTGCTGGCCCCTCTCTCATTCATAGCTTTGCTCTTTGTGATGCTTTTGTCGTCTTCTTCTCTTTTCTCTTTTAGTCCATCTCATCTATTCAATTTCTACCTTCTCATAATATCCACTTTCTCTGGCCATCTTGGCTTCTCAGGCTTCATATTATATAAAAAATACTTCCCTCTGCTGAGAGGGACAGTCTCTCAGTATTCTCTGGATCATCTTCCCAAGATAGAGACGAGGATAGTTCTGCTTATCTCTGCTTATCATCAGATGAAGCCATGTCTCCACAGCTTACTCTGCAGCACAGCATTTTGAGTGGTTCTAGTCTTACAGTGATAGTAGAGAGAGTGGATGTGGAGAACAATGACACCTACCTTACAGCTTGTGGACAAAGCAATTACCTTTAGAAGGGATGATGGAAGGAATGATAGAAAGGACCATCGGTAAAAAGAACAGACTTCAAAGGACTGTTATAAGTGAGAGTTGGGAACTGGAATCAGCTGGATGTCATGATCCATTCAATATGGAAAATAATGAACAGGGAGGTTTCTAATGTCAGCCACAGAATAACTCATATTCCACCTACCCAAAGAGGGAAAATAAAGTTTTCAGATGAGTTCAAATTTGGATTTTGTAGAAAATCCTATCAGATAACTATAGATACTAGTTGACTTTCAAGAGATATTTGGACCAGAGATAGTCATTTATGATTACGCTTTTTTCTTTTTGGCTTCTGATGTTTTCTTTTACTTTTGTCTTCAATACTGCCTCTTTTTTCTCCTCATGTGTCTCCTCCTCTTTCTTCCTTTATGTGATCTTTTCTAATGGACACAGATTTCTAGAAATCCAGTTCTGGTTTCTCTTTATCTTCTGTATATACTCTTCTCAGGATAATCTCAACACATCCTAAATTTATAAATGCCACATTTATACTTGTATCTTACAAACTTATTTTCAAACTGAAATACCCGGTTGCCCACATAACTTCTTTATGTAGATATTTCACTGACATCTCAGACTCTTGATTTAAGTTTCCAACAGCCCACCCACCTTTAGTCTTCATTGTCTTATTAAATAGCACTGTTATTCACTTATCTACACAAGCCAGAACTTGAGGACCATTCTTGATATTATCTTTATCTTATTTCTCTCAGCAATGCCTATCAATTCCATCTCCAAAATATGTCATGACTTCATTTTCTCCTTTCCACCTCTATTACAGCTGTATTGGTCCAAACCACTGTCTAAGAATTTTTTTATTTAACTATTCAATAACTTAATATTTCATTTAGAATAAAGTTCAAGTCCTACAGGATTACATGATCCTCACCTCTATTATTATACATTCCTATCATACTCTATTCTAGGTGTACAACAAGCCTCTTCCCATTATGGAATTTATTCTTCAGGTTTCCTTTACCTTAAACAATCTTCAGTGGTCTGGCTCCTTTGAATTATGTCACAATTGAATAAAGGGATTTTTCCTGTGTCTAATACAAAGTAACCCCGATCCCATCACTGTCACCTTAATAACATTTTTTTTTCTCTATTTGTATAGCACTTTGCTCTCTGGAGTTTGAATTTATTTATCTGTTTGATTCAAGTTAATATTTCCATAATCACTCACTGAAATCTAAGCTTCATGAGATAGAGATGCTGCCCTTCTGGTTTACTTCTCTATCTGTAGTGCCTACAACAGTGCCTGGTATATGTACTAAGTAATTGTTGAGTGAATGATTCAATTAATTCTTGCCAAAGACTCTTAATGGGTCCTTTCATTTTCATTCTTCCCTTTATAATACATTTTTCACCAAAAATCATCATTTTAAAATATAAAATCAATCACAACCCAATAAAAATTTAATCTCCTTGATGGCCTTTAGTACACTCAAAATAAGATTCCAATGCATTATGTTGATTTTCAATGTTTTTGTACTTGCTTATTACAAATTACTGATCTTCTTTCAATTTGTTGATCATCCCAAACTGTCTTCTGCTCTGAATGCACTTCCCAATATTCTTTGCATATTTATTACCTTCTCTTTCTTTAGATTTTGGTGTATTTCTTCAGAGAGGTCTTCCCTGACCTTTTTACTTAAAGTAAGTTCTCTTTATTTTTTTTCTCAACTTTTTTTTTTTTTTCCTAGCCTTCACTAGTTTTTCAATTACTACAGTTATATATTGGCATATTTGGTTTTCATCTGCCTCTTCTGCTGTCACGTAGGATAATCAGGGTAGCAATCAGGTCTGTCTTAATCCTCTTCGGTATCCTTAGTACCTGCCATGATACTTGAGATACTTGAAGATGCTCAATAAATGTTGTTTTAACTGAAATGATATCAGATGGTGGTAGAAGGTCTTGGAGTAAATGAGATTACCCATGGTTACAAACTAGAAGAAATTCCTAACTAAATCTAGCCTAAAGATGTGTGGGTCTTATTTGCTTGTTTTGTGTTAAAACAGCACATTGTTTAAATGTTTTGGAATACCCTTAGGTATTATATGAAAGGTACAGTTTATCATAGTTCTCATCTATGGATGGTTTTGGAATATTGTAGAAAGGACATCGGGACACATTTCTTTGCCAGATATTAACCCCAGGAGATACTAGAGATCCAAGAGGTTGCTGGATTGTAGAATGATTCAGGAGGCCCAGAAGAGGACTTGGGAAGGAAGGAAACACATCTTTAGGATAATGGATATTTACTGACTTTTATGGAACTATCTCAGTATTTGTGGAGATACTGCACTACTACTAGCATCCCTAACTTAGCCCTTGTAGTTATTTGAGTTTCTGACCCCTCCTTATTTGGGATAAAAGAGAAGACAGCAAATAACAGAGTCTTAGGAAACATCAAGGGCTGAGTAAAATATAGTAAGCCCAGAAAGGAGCAGCTAGAGAACAAACAAATCAAAAGAAAATGGTTTTCTAGTAGCTCAGGGAGGAAAGTACTTAAGATGGTCAATTGTGTCAATAGATAAGGATGGAGAATTGTTTAGCTGGAGGGCATTGGTGACTCCAGAACTAAAAGCTTCAGTGGACTGAAACTTGATAGGCATACCAGAAAGTGAAATGGTGGGTGCAGTTGGCCAGGTGCACAGGGAAGGCATGAGGAAGTATGCTGTCTGTAGAGAATTGTGAAACAGCAGTGAAACTGACTAAAGCCTGTTTGCTGTTTAGTATCATCATGCCATGCTCCAGAAATTCCAAACACAGTTAAGGTTAAAATTTTTCTCCCCTCTGTTACCACTCTTAAAGACTCTTAAAGACAGGAACAGAGTTTAACAGTTAGAAGAGGGCATGGGGTCAAGGGAGGATGAATTTATAAGACTAGGGAGTCTTGTGAATGTTTATATAATGAAAGGACCAGCCCAGAGGAAGTGTTTCAGTTGAGTAGAGGTTATAATCGTGAAGCCAATCTGAGGGCATACCCATTTCTCAAAATACAGGAATGATTTAGCCTTTAAAAACAAGTAGGACCTCTAAATTTTAGGGGAAGAATCCTTCATCCTTAACTCAGAACTGTTTATTTATGGCAAAGTTATAGATGTATTTCATTTTTTAAATTCACTCCCAAAATTTTGGTTTTATTATTATATTAATAAGTTGTTTTCATTATATCCACTTAGGAATGATATTTCAAAAATAACACTAATATTCTAACTTATTTCAAGGATTTTATATAATATATTTAATATATATTTAGAGTAATAATTTTAAATGTATAATATACATTTAATATAATGAGTTTAAATGTATTATGTTAATAGATATATTCTAATTTCTGACATTAAATTAATATATTCTGCATTTACACTTATTTCATACAGGTAACAAATATTGGGTATTCAAGGACACAACTCTTCAACCTGGTTACCCTCATGACTTGATAACCCTTGGAAGTGGAATTCCCCCTCATGGTATTGATTCAGCCATTTGGTGGGAGGACGTTGGGAAAACCTATTTCTTCAAGGGAGACAGGTCAGTATACACTTATCATGAGAAAAACAGTTAATTGACTAGTGTTTAGAAAGCCAGCATTTCTAAACTATCAGAGGCATGAGCTATTGATGAATTTTGGTGGATTTAACGCAGGAGTTGATGCAATTAAAATTTTTTTTTATATTTCAAATAGTATTTAAGATAAATCTTCCTCTAATATATTCAGCTAATGTGATTTTTTTATGAATGTGTATACCTAGCATATGTTTTTTTTTTTCATTTCCCCATAATTGCAACATGCTCAAAATACGGTGTAGGCAGTGTATATATGTATCCTTGCAATGCATTTTTTGGGGAATTTTACTGATTTTGTTTAAAAAAATACTTTTCAGCACAGGATTTTTGTGTTTTCATACTCAAAGTTAAAGTTTTATACTTTGTATACAATAAATTGTGAAGACTTCCGAAGAATTTCAGTTTAGTCATAGATTCTATTTCTTAAGAAGCCATTTAGTTAGACACCATAGTCAAACTGTTACTAGGCTAAATACTTTTAGCTTGAAGCATAATATTTTTTTCCCAGGTATTTTATTTTTATTTTCCTCTTTTTTTTTCCTTTTATGATATTACTCATAGAGTTCACAAAATGAAAGTTGTAGTCTTAAACTTAAAAAAGGACCAGGCGCATTGGTTCATGCCTGAAATCCCAGCACTTTGTGAGGCTGAGGTGGGTGGATCACTTAAGGTCAGGAGTTCGAGACCAGCCTGGCCAACATGGAGAATCCCCGTCTCTACTAAAAATACAAAACTTAGCCAGGTGTGGTGGCATACACCTGTAATTCCAGCTACTTGGGAGGCTGCGGCATGAGAATCACTTGAACTAGGGAGGCAAAGGCTGCAGTGAGCTGAAATTGTATCACTGTACTCCAATCTGGCCAACAGAGTGAGACCCTGTCTCAAAAACAAAAATAAAACAAAAAACCTTACAGTAGCTATGAGGCAGATATAAGCCTATCCCTGCCTAATTGTTAACAGATATTACAAATTAAGTTGAAGCCTATGTTTTTTATTAATTTAAATAAATATTAAATAGAAAAATATCAAAAATCAAATTTTAATTACCCTATCACTAGCTAGCTCACAATGAGAACTTCGTAAGCAGTCTTTATTGGTTTGTAGGACTTCAATCTGCCATTGTTCTACCATTTATGCATACATTTTTAAAAAGATACACACATATAAAATACAGTCTTTAATGTCCAACATGCCAGTATTGAGTTTGCCATATTATCTTAGCATAAATTAACCCTACGCAAAGTCTCCAAATCTAAGAGAAAAGTAAGTAAGGTTATAAACCTTGTTTATTTGGAAATTTACAATTTTTAATAGCAAATAGTTTCAAACATTGAGCTTTATGTGTGAACAAAAGATCCTATAATTGGTTTCCATGAATACGAAGGTACACTTTTAAATTTATTCTTTGACTAACTTTATATGCAATATTCCTATATTTTTCCATAGCAAAGTGCTCATAGATATTAATTAATTATAATAAGGCTAGGCTGTGCTAAAATATTTCTTACTAAATCACAAATTAAAGAGATATACCAAACAAAAATTCGATTAAAAGAGAAGATGCTACTTAAAGCCACAAAAAGAATAATAAAGAATAATGACTCTTAACAGGATGTCAATGTAATAGGGAATGAAATGGGAAGAACTTCATTGCCACTGCATAGTGACCACTAATAAAAATAATTCTACAGACTTATAATATATTCTTTAAAATGGTATAACCCTTAAGGTTGTTAAATTTATCAGCTGCTTTTAAATGTACCCATGCTGGACTCAGTACTATACAGAGTTGCACGTTTTTTCTTTTTCTCAAAAAAGGGCAGAAATTAAAGGCTGAGGAGATATTTTGAAGAAGTTAGCTTATACAGGACAGAAAATGGAAGCTTAGTTTTATGTAACAGTTTTAATTAGTTTCATAGATGATAATAAAAATGGCCATTTCATTATCAGATAGCTCTTTTTCCCACAAATGTAGGGATTATATTTAAAATGTTTCCACTCTCTAAATTTAGTTCTTATTGGAACATTTAAGTTTAAAGAGTAAACATGAAGTCCCTCAAATTTGTGAAATCAGTGGAGATTAGATGCCAAAATTTAGAAGAAAAAAGACTATAGCAAATGGGAAAAGGGTTTTTAGTTCATTTACTCCGTGCTTGAAAAGCTGCATGACAAATACGGCAAATGTGTAGAAATGCCTTTATTACTTTTAAGTTCTATATAAACAACTACAGTTTTATAGGTTTTAAGAAATTGAAAGCAGGATTTAAACTAATTTGCATGTGTGTGATCTTATGTAAGATGTCACGAGTTATAGATGTTTTATAAACAGATTACTCTATAGTTGTATAATTACATATTTCCAGAGTCAACAGCATTTATCAATAAATTTATTCTAGTTTTAAAAGTAGATGAAAAGACATTAAACTCTCTAACTGAAGCATAGAAACAACAATTTAGTTGTCACTTTTATATGAAAATTTATTTTTCATTATTTCTCCTCTCTTTACCAACTACCATTTTTCTGCTTACAAAAAAGCAAAAAGTTATGTCAACAGTTTTCTATTTCTCTAATACTAAGAGCAAAAAGGATTTTTATATCTAGAATCGTTATAAAAGATTCAGGTCCTTAAAGAGATCAGGTAAATAACGGCTGTAATTCAGGTGAGTAATGGCTGTACCTGTGTAAAGCAGTACATTTAAGGCAATAGCGAATAACGAGTACTCCTGTGAGCCAGAAAGTGCAAAAACTCTAGAAAAGCATTCAAAATCCAGTTCACTTCAAATAATCTACTAGGCAAACAAAGCACATCTTTAAATTAGATGCTGTCATACATCAGCCCTGAATGTGGTTCACTTCCTATCAAAATGTAGATACCCTCAATTGCAGCCCAAGGGTACCCTTCCCTCTCCACTAAACTGCCTGTTACAGTATGAACATGAGGCAGCCCATTCTATCCTCAGTAGCTTTAATGCCTGCCTGCTTCCTTAAGATTTCTGCACCTGTCCTACCCTAGCATTCATTTAATTGATTCAAACATGCATTTTGGAACACAAAATATGTGACATGTACTAGGTAATGAAGATGGAGTAGTAGAAAAAAAGACCACAGAGCTCCTGCTTTCATGATACTTAGACTGTGTTGGAGGAGACAAATAAAAAACAGTAAACAAATAAATAACCTTGGTAATTTTCACAGTGAGAAATGCTACAAAGAACTAAAATAAGGTGTTGCTGCGAGAGAGACTCCTGGTGGTAAGGACAGGTTGAGACTTAGTGTTGACCTGGAAGAAGGCCTCACTTGTGAAGGGGACACCTGAGTGGAGACTTAGCCATAGAAAGCTATACAGGACAGTGTGTTGCAGGTGGATGATATAGTCATGCAAAGGCAATAACTTAGGAAAGAATTTGGATTGTTTAAAAACAGTGTTGCTGGAGCATAGTGGTTAAAGTGGTAGGAGAGGTCAAACTGGTCAATAGGGACCAGATTACACAGGGCCCCATAGCCCATGGCAAAGAGTTTGATTATTCTAAGTACAAGGAAGAGGGACTGGATCATTTTCAGCAGGAAAGTGACATGATCTTATGTGTATTCACAAAGATTGTGCTGGCTTCTGTCTGAAAAATGAGCTCCAAAATTGGAGGGTAACTGAGAGACTTTTGAAGGACTGCAGGAAGACATGATGGTAGTGGTGGAGAAGTAGTAAAGTGGGTGGGTGCAGGATAATTTTGAGTGTGATAACAAGTTGTCCTCAGGGGTTGGATTTTAGAGGAGGAACAAATAAATCAGGACAACTACTAGGCTTTTCACTCAAGTAATTAAGTAGACAGTACCTTATCTGGAGAGTTAAAAACAACAACAACAATAACAAAAAAAAAAAAAAAAAAAAAAAAAACAGAGAAAGGAATATTAAGGGAAAGGGATTAAGAAATTGAAATGTCCATGCTTAACTGAGGTGCCTGTTTATACACCAAGTGAAGAAGTCAAGTAGGTGGTTGGATAATTGAGTTTGCATCTTAATGGAAAGTTTAGTTGGAGGCACAGATTTCAGAGTTATTGACATATAAATGGTATTGAAAGCAGGAGCCCAGTGGAAATAAGTATAGGGATAGCTAAAGAGAGTAGATGAAATGATGGTTCTTTAAATAGATCTGTAAATTCAGATTAAAATATCTAGTGTTGTACTATTTTTCATACAGCATGGAATTCAGTACCTCAGATTCCTACTTGCCCTTTTGTTAATATACTATGCTTTGGTACTTGGATATGTTTTGATCTTCATAACATTTAGCTTAAAATGCTATGTTTCTAAGTCATCTCTCAACATCTCACAATCATATCTAAGACTCTACTGCCATATTTCATAAGAAGCTTAGTTGTTGAGAATTTTAAGGTATTTTCAAATAAAAATAGGAAAATGTAGACTTGTTTTCTTAATTATCATCTCTAATAATGAAATAAAAAAAATACGTTTATTTCCTTCAGCTTAAGTGGTATGTTTATAAAGTAATTTCTTAATGTATATGTTTTTGAATCATTCAAAAATAGAGCAAAAACTAATAGACTGATATTGTCTATTCTGTTGCATTTTTAAGACTGATCCTGAGGAATGGGATTTTGAGGCCTTAATTAAGAATGCAAATCTCAAAGAATCATCTGACTAAAGTCACAGTTCTACAGTAGAGATAACTGATGAATCAGAAGAAAGAGCTATGATGTTCATTTATAATAGCTTTTATCACTTACTGACCCACCCACATAAAATGTCAATGTTTTCCATGAAAAATCTACATTTTAAAGCCCCAAAATGGTTTGTTTACATAGTGTTCTGATCTGAATATGCTAATATACTTCTCATTGAATCTATAAGCTTATTTTTCAGGGAGAAAAATTCAGTTGAATGAGCTTTGTTCATATTGTCATATGCTCAAATATGTTGGAAATTAAAATACAAAGCAGTATTTATGAATAAGCCTCAGCACCTTTTATAAGACAGTGCTAACTATAGATAATTCTGATTGCATTCCAGTTTACTGGATGTATAACAAAGCTGACACAAAGCAGACAAGCTTTGGGGTCAAGACTATGTTGAGTTTTTTTAAAACTGTAAAATGACTCTAAATTATTGTTTTGTATTATCTGCTAGGAGAGGGAAAATGCTTTTATATTGACAAATTTATACCAGAATTATTTTCCTACAAAAGAGTGTAATAAAATTGACATTCCATTAACATTTTCTTGAAATGAGATCTTTCTGAATCCTGTGAGTCTGGCATATAATATAGGTGCTCAGAAAAGCATCAGTGAGTGAATTAATCTATGAATAAACAGACTAAGGGAGAAAGGAAAGCTATACCAAACAATGAACACAAGTTATTTGAATGGCAGCATTGAGAGAGAAGAAAACACAGGCAGACACTAGCAATAACATTTGAATTTCAATTCTGCCACATTCAGACACAGTAAAGGTGACTAAGTCAATTGTCTTTGAATAATATGATGCCCAATGCTCTGTTATTGCTTGAATTGAGTGACCATTCATACTAAATCTATCGTTAGGACATTATTATAGAGAAAACTGTAATATGTGATATAAAGGCTATTGAGGGATTTAAGCAAAACGAGATAACATATGTACATAAATTTACTTTATAACTATAAAACACTATATAAAGTGTAGGTATTATTACATCAAAAGCATAACTACTTCTCAGAAAACTAATCTGGTTGCTAGGTATGTATTATTGTTACTTAAATCACACGCAGGATGTGATACCATCATCCTCAGGATTTTAAGTTATTCCTAATTTTATTTATTATTACTATTATTATTATTACTTGAGAGATCTTTAAATTATGAGCAAATCTCAACTGTATTAACCATTCATCACAGAATGTTCTGTGTAACAAGAATATTCAAAAATTATGTTTATTTAAGTATTTTAATTTAAAAGTAAATGTTTCCATGCACAAAATGTAAAAGAAAATATATTTTAGAATTGGTGGCGTGCTGCACTAATGATTCCACTTCGTTGTCCTCTTCAGAAAGATGCAGTCCAGGCACCATTCTTTCAGCTCAGTGCATCTCCAAGAAGCTAATCCTGATCTGTCCATCAGATCTGTTCTCATCTTTCATGTGATGAGAACCTGTGACAAATACCTCTGACAGCTTCCCTTTTGGTATAAACTCTTCTTTGGGGTACTTCTTCGAACACTTCCTGAAATAATCTTTTTCCCATCTATGTGATCATTGAAGATTGAGGAAGTGCATCTTCAATGGATGGAGGAATTCCAGATGTTACTCAAGTGATGTTTCTAGGAATCTGTAGCAAAACCTTCTACACAGGACCCCAGAGCTCTGTAGGTAAAGAATCCTTCATAGGCCTGGCAGAGGAATATCCGAACTGTAACGTATTTATTTTTTTCAAATTTCAGAAAAAATGGCTAAGTCAAAGATAATTTCTAAAAAATGTATCATTTCCCAAATATGTGTTGGTGAAACACTAGCTTTAGTATATCATCATAGATATGTAGCAGGGGAAAAGCATTGACAAATAAAATTGGAAAACATATTTGGTGGCATCAAACGAATTTGGAAACTGCCTTTATGGTGAAATAGCAGATACTTTTGAAATCAGACAAACATGGTTATACTTATTCCTATCATTCAGCATCCTCCAAGAATTCTCCTCTCTCAAATGGAGACAATGATGACTATCTCATGGGTTTGTTGTGATTAAATAAAATAATGCATAGAGCAATAGAGCTGCCCGAAATAGATGATATCACTGTGAACTCCCAATGATTTTACCCTATTTTGTCAATTTTTGTGACCATTCAAAATATAAACTCATTTTAGTCTTAGAATATATGGACAAAAATGAATGATCCAAAGTAGGGATGTTCACAATTTGTTCCTTGGAGGTCTAGGATTCTGTGAAAGTGGCTCAAGGACTGCCATGTGAAGGGAAAAGAGTCTCTTGGTGAGCTTTGCTTTTACTTGTATTAACGTCTATACACTGAGTACTCCAATCAAGACCTGTCCTAACGTCTATACTCCCATTCCCAGTTTCCTCATCAGCAGCTCCACTTTGAAGTCTGAATTTAATGTAGCTAACACCAGATTCATGATTTCTCAATCTGTCTCAACTTACCTCCTCTTATTTCATTATCTTACTAAATGACAGCATTATTCTTCCAGATAATCAGACTCACAATTCTTGAGTCATACTCAGCTTCCTTCTCTTTCACATCCCACATCTAATCCATGAGTAAGTCCTCTGGCTCTTCCTTTAAAATATATCCCAAATCCCTTGATTTATCATCAGTGCTATAGTTGTTGACTTCCTAGTCCGAGGATTATTGCAGTGACATCCCAACTGGCATTACAGCTTCTGCCTTACCTCCTTCAAGCTATTTTACTCATAGCAACCAGTATATTCTTTTCAACAATTAGCCATAAGTTTAAGCTCCTCTGTTCAAAATATATATTGGCTTCCCATCTCTCTTAGAGGAAAACCAAAGGCTCACTATAGTGTAAAGGCTTATCTTATTTTAAGTTCTGGTTCTCACTCTCACCTTGTCTCCCCATTACTAACTCAATTCCAGTCACCCCAGCCTCTTGTAGACACAGGTACTCCAAGCACATGCCTGCCACAGGAATTTTTAATTCCTAGTTCCTCTGCCTGGAATGTTCTTCTCCCAAAGACTACATGTATTGCTCCTCACTTTTCTCTGTTCAGATGTCCGCTTATCAGAGAGGACCTCTCCATCCACCAGTTTAACATAGCTTTTGATATTCCTAGATAACTTTATCTGCTTTGCTTTTTTCATAGCTGTTATCACCACCTATCATAGTATGCATTTATTCATAAATTGGTTTATTTTCCATATCCTCACATATCCTATAATGTGATATCAGTGAGAGCCACAGCATATCTGTGTTGTGCAAGGTTGAATCTCTGGCCACACCGTAATGCCAGAAACCTAATATATATATTCATTAAATATGTACTGAATGAATAAATAAATCAAGATTCTACTTAAAATTATTTTTTAAAATGTTCTGCTCCCTAAGAAAGGTTTTTTAAAAACTCATGAAAACCTCTGAGATAGATAGATAGATATATATATATATATATATATATATATATATATATATATACACACACACACACACACACACACACACACACACAAATGCAGGTTGGTGATGTCCAGATGAACTATAAATATACTTAGCTAGCACTTTTTATTCATTTTAGCAGCCTGAATAAAAACTTATTTTTAACACAGGCAGGATATGGACAATAAGCTGCCCATTTTTAATATATGCAGGAGAAGAAACAGAATAAATGCCTTATGCTCATTGTATTTCAGTGATTTAAATCAGAGCTTGCCAGTTGGAGTTCTGTAAATCATTAACAGGTGCACAAGTAACTAAGTCAAGCACACAGCAAAGGTCTAATAAATGTTAGTTATTATTGCTTGTATGCATAACCTTTCCCTATATGTTGTTGTTGGTGTTTTTATCCTTTGTAGATATTGGAGATACAGTGAAGAAATGAAAACGATGGACCCTGGCTATCCCAAGCCAATCACAGTCTGGAAAGGAATCCCTGAATCTCCTCAGGGAGCATTTGTACACAAAGAAAATGGTATGCAACATGTGTTTTTTACATTTCATAAGTTTGCTGTCTTAGTAATGCATTAGGCTTTTTCACTCTGCTAAATTAAACCATTGGAAAGTGCTATACTAGAGCTATATAATATTATATTTCCATTTATATTAAATTTCTTCCCTAGATTTACATGTAATATTATGCTGTTAGACATTTTTTAACCTCAACTTACTTTAGTTTGTAAAAACTCATTAGAAAAAAATACAGATAATAGTTTAATATGGAAGTTATGTATGTATACCTTTGAAGTAACCTATTTTTCTATTGAAATTCCCGTAAAGATTATAATAAAAATACATGGGACAGAACTGGTCACAAGGAAGATACAGGTGCCAGTTGAGGTATTATATCTGGTAATAATGCATATTGAGGATTATAATTTTTATGTATTTTTTGGCTTAGAGTGTCAGCAATCAAGGAAGATTCCAACTCAATACAGTGAGAATAGAGTGGATGTATGATGGCATAACAGCAAGAAACAAATCTGAGAGCTGCCTCCTTTACTTGCTACTCAGGATTTCAGATTCTGCTAGATCCCGAGTGGAAAGTTAGCCAAACTATGGATAATCCATACTCCTCTGTCTTTTGGCAGATATGAAATGTGAACATGCCTCTTGTCATCCAGGGTTTACTAAATAGAAATAAATTATAATTTGAAATTGAATTTATGTGTAATATTTCAGAACCAAGGAAAGGAAAATGACATTCTGAAATAGAGAAAAAATTACCTCATCATCAATAGGAACCATAAGAAAATAATATATTATGTACATCCTCAATAACATGAACAGTCTGTGATGTATTTTCAATATAAGCTAAAATAGGCATCTTATGTAAGAACAAAACTAAGTGCATCTATGGGCAGGGAAGAAAAGGCAAGGTTAATGAAAGAATCAGGGGAAAACAAAAAAATCATACTACACTACCACTGAAAACTGTGATTGACCATAGGCATATTGGAAGATTAAGAAAAATCTACACTGACAGGACACAGGGCTTACACCTGTAATCCAAACACTCTAAGAGGCTGATATAGGCAGATCCCCTGAGGTCAGGAGTTTGAGATCAGCCTGACCAAAATGGTGACACCCTGGTCTCTACTGAAAACATATAAATTAGCCAGGCATGGTGATGTGCACCTGTAGTCCCAGCTACTCAGGAGCCTGATGCAGGAGAATTGCTTGAACCTGGGAGAAGGAGGTTGCATTGAGCTGGCTGAGATCAAGCCACTGCACACCAGTCTAGGCAACAGAACCAGACTCTATCCCTAAATAAATGAATAAAAGAGAGAGAGAGAGAGAGAGAAAGGAAGGAAGCAAGAAAGGGAAATATACTAGTATAAACTTGAATGAACTGAGAACCAGGATAAATGCATACCAATAAAAAAAATTGAAGTACATGTACTTTTTTTTGAGCACTGCCGCATAGATAATGATATACTACTATATTCTGTGTGATAGTGTCCCACAAGTGGAACACTGTAGGCAGAGGCAAAGTCAAAAAGAACCTTGAAGTCATTATCAGAGTACTTGCTGAGAAAAATAATTTTTGTGTATTCTGTTGGCTCAGAAAATTAAAAGACCAAGTTAAGGTATGACTTATATGTGACAAAAGAAGAAATCCATAGGACAGTGAGACTAAGATTAAAACATAACTTTCCGAGATAAAAGGGAAAGCAATAAGAGAATGAAGGAAGTCACAATAAAGTCACACTGAAGGCAGTAAAATCAGATTAATAATCTACCTTAAAACTTAAGAAACTACATGGATGAAAAGGACAAAGAAATGAAAAAGTGTGAAAGATGATCACATAGAAGACAGAAAACTGCCATCATCCCTAAAAATAATAGCTGTTGCCAAGGAGGAAACTTGAACAATGATATAAAAAGTATTTTTTAAGAATTAAATAATAAAGGGGGGAGCTTTTTTGAAGGTAAACCAAAAGGGCTTATTACAGCCCAGGTAAAACCAATTTCTTGCTAACATGTACAGTGGCCTTACCACTGCTCTACACTACATTTTGATAAAGAGTTATCACATAGGCCGGGCGCGGTGGCTCAAGCCTGTAATCCCAGCACTTTGGGAGGCCGAGGCGGGTGGATCACGAGGTCGAGAGATCGAGACCATCCTGGTCAACATGGTGAAACCCCGTCTCTACTAAAAATACAAAAAACTAGCTGGGCATGGTGGCACGTGCCTGTAATCCCAGCTAATTAGGAGGCTGAGGCAGGAGAATTGCCTGAGCCCAGGAGGCGGAGGTTGCGGTGAGCCGAGATCGCGCCATTGCACTCCAGCCTGGGTAACAAGAGCGAAACCTCCGTCTCAAAAAAAAAAAAAAAAAAAAAAAAAGAGTTATCACAGACTATATACAAATATATACTCTGTAAGTTTGACTCTAACAAATATTTCCACAAGATTCAGTTTATTTGTTCATATGTATTAAATAGCAACTTCTTACTAGTAAACACCTAAGGGTCAAAAATAGAACACAGAGGTACTGCTCTCAAGGAACATCTACTAAGCTGTATAATAGTACCAGCTGTGGAGAATTATGTCTCATTACATTTTTAGGATGAAACAATAGAAAAGTCCAGTAAGGTTCAGTCAAGCATAAAGGATCATCAAATAAAATATAGCCTCATTAATTTATTTTCCAGAATTTCTCAATGAAAATATAGGTAAGAATTCACCGGAAGTTGTTCTTCGTAAGCATGTATACAAAAATATATGTCAAAGCTGCTTTTAAAAGGAAAAAAATATAAATACCTAAACATTGATTCAACCACTGACCTTTCATAAATGTAAAAGACCTAAATTATTGAACAAGATGAATTTTGCAGAATCAAGGTTTGACATATTTCTATTACCAATATTTTAGGCTACTTCTTTTCAAATGCTTATACTATCTATCTCCTAGTAGCTAGCCATTTTTTTTTTATTTGAGACATTTTTTTTGGGGGGGTGGTCTCATCTCACTATGATGCCCGGGTTGGTCTCCTGAACTCCAGGGCTCAAGCAGTCCTCCTGCCTCAGCCTCCTAAAGTGCTGGAATTACAGGCATAAGCCTCCACATCAGGCCTAGACTTCTTATTTATAACAAGTGTATTCAATAACTACAATTCTACTTTTATATGTGGAGTGTGTTACTGTAAAATTTGGCCCGCAGAACCGCTTAGTATGTAAATAGAAACCTCTTAACTTTTGTGTAATGCCCAGTAGCTCTGTAGTAATTGGCTTTAGCTAAAAATTGAAGATGAGGACACTTCCAGGTGTTGTTTTCCAGTTTATAAATATAAGAAGTACATTCACCCATTTTGTAGGTCTAATTCTAGACCAATGTCATTCAATTATGATCATCTAAAGTACTGTTATTTGGCAGGCCCTCAAGGTTTCCTTATCCAAGCTTGTTGAGTAATTATATTGAATTTTATTAACGTGATCAAATACAACTCCCGACTGAAAAACTGGAATCTACATACACCTGTTTTCACTTGGCAAGTTGCTCCCATTGCAAAACTGTCCTTTGAAACTAAAAGCAGCAGTAGGTTTTTATGGCATTGAACAGAATGATTTCCAAATGAAGTGACCCTGAAGTGATCATCTGTCCTATTTGAAATTTCTTGAGAGATTTCAGAGTTCTTCATTCAAGAATGATACCTGTCACACCTTTGGATGTTTAAAAGACAGGAGCCTTCTAAAGCACCCAGTCTTAGAAAATTAAGTGTCCAGGCTCCAGATCTAGATCAAGATTTAAAACTTGTATTCACCAGAATATGAGCATGTTATTTTGTCTCTGATCCTTAATATCTTGGGCTAAAAAGAATGGATAATAAATTCTACCTGATAGACTACTTGTGAGGATTAAAAGAGAGACCACATACTAAACTTTAACACAATGCTTCTTCCATAATAAATCCTCAATCATACAGGAAAAAAAATCACCTTTATTAATGACTATAAACTATGAATTGTGCCCTCTATCAAAAATGGATAACTCCCAAAATATAGTTTTAAGTAATTATAGAATTAAAACATTTCTTCTTGATTTTTTGATTTTTTATCTCAAAGGACAAATTAAGTCAAAGTACTATAGTCACATAGAAACTTGACATGAATGAACTGTGGACAGAAAGAAAAAAACTGGATATGTGCCCAACAAAAACATAAAATTTGGAGAATAGACCTAAGAAAAATGTCTACATTTGTAGTTTAATCATCGGGAGCTTACAAAGTCTATTGTATGCATTCATAATGTTTTAGAAAATAAATTGTATGTATTGCTGAGTTACTTGAGCCTCCCACATCCCACCTCCTCCCATGAAATGTAAGGTACTAGGAAGTATTAAAAATAGAATTGTAGATTTATGTTCAACTTTATTCTTAAAATAATGAATAATGGCTTTTGAAGTTCTATAAAATATAACTAGGTGACACAAATTAAACATTAAATAAAGTAAAATAAAGAGGACAAAAGGAGAAGGAAGAAAATGTTTATGACCTAGAGCCAGAAATGAGGTTAGAGTACGAAATGCTATGAATCCTCTTTACTTGTTAAGATTTCTTGCAGACAAATGAAAGCCTCTCCAGTTTTATGATTTATATTTTATTATAATTTCTCATCCAAATTACAAAAGGAAGCCTGTTGTTTAGAAGGAGCACAGATTCCTGATACTAAGATGATTAGAAATTTCACTTGAGGTGTTTCATAGAGAAGCCTCTTTATCATATATTGAACAATGTTCCCAGTAACAGCCTGAGGGTAAACAGGGTTTCAGTTTATAAGGCTGTGTCAGCATCTTTCCATATAGGTTGATATTATCACACTAATGTGATAACATTAATGTGTTAATTTTGTAACAGCAGTCCTATAAGCCAGCAAAAAGATAAGGTTATGTTTTCTAGCTTGGAATACTAGTAGATTGCCTAGCACGGTCTTTGAGCAGTCCTTTGTAAATGATATTTCCCTCTCTAGGCTGAGTTTTCCATAGGCATTAGAGGGCATCATTCCTGGAGCACAGCAGCCACAGCCATCCTAACAGACAGCTGAACCAAAAATAGTGCTTTCTTCCTGTAGAAAGTGAATGTCCTTAAAAGACATCTTTTAAGACATAGCCTATTTTAATAACATTTTTCTACAAATACACGTTCACAATAAGTGGTACCTGTGTATGTGTATGTTTTTCCCCCTAGGCTTTACATATTTCTACAAAGGAAAAGAGTATTGGAAATTCAACAACCAGATACTCAAGGTAGAACCTGGATATCCAAGATCCATCCTCAAAGATTTTATGGGCTGTGATGGACCAACAGACAGAGTTAAAGAAGGACACAGCCCACCAGATGATGTAGACATTGTCATCAAACTGGACAACACAGCCAGCACTGTGAAAGCCATAGCTATTGTCATTCCCTGCATCTTGGCCTTATGCCTCCTTGTATTGGTTTACACTGTGTTCCAGTTCAAGAGGAAAGGAACACCCCGCCACATACTGTACTGTAAACGCTCTATGCAAGAGTGGGTGTGATGTAGGGTTTTTTCTTCTTTCTTTCTTTTCCAGGAGTTTGTGGTAACTTGAGATTCAAGACAAGAGCTGTTATGCTGTTTCCTAGCTAGGAGCAGGCTTGTGGCAGCCTGATTCGGGGCTGACCTTTCAAACCCAGAGGGTTGCTGGTCCTGCACATGAGTGGAAATACACTCATGGGGAAGCTTCCATGATGCACAGTATCTGCTGTTCTTCAGTCCTTTGTCTTTCTTTGTCATTCAGTTCTAGGCCTTTCCTCTGCACGCAATGCCCAATCAAATTTCAGGATTAACTAAAGAAGAGGAAAAAAAGAAGAAAAGATTCTTCTTAAAAATTTCTAATATTATTTTTCCTTCTGAAGTCTGAGCCCATTTCTGGGGGGACTATAAAAAAGCAAATCAAAAAATCCACGATTTTTTTTTTTTTTGCTTTAAAACAAAGGGAAAAAAAAGAGTTTAAACAAAAACCCCACAATTGAACTTCCAGGAAAGTGTGAAGACCCAAAACAGCTTTGTCTCCAAAGAAGATAGCTCTCTGACTGCTTTGGATAGTCTCCTACGCACCATTTTGTCAGGTGGGAGATTTGGAATACATATGCAGGACGTTAGACTGTTGGGACAGCCATTTTCCAACAACCAAGGGGCCAAAATATCTGCAATATAGTAACAGCCTTAATAATACATCCATTTTTCGTTTTATACAGCTGTTCTCAGCTATGTCCTCAATGTTTCATCACATTTATATTCATAACTATCTTCAAACACGACCTTTTAATTGTTTTTGAAGTATTTCTAAACCTCTTCTTTCCACCTTACCCCTCCATCATTGTGATAATCTTCCCAAATTGTATTAGGCCATTGCCCCAGGCCTTCCATGGGTCTGTCAGGAATATTCATTACAAAGCAGATCAAGAAGCAGTATGTCGCTGAAGTGGATTACTGTGACAGTTACTTTACAAGGATTTGTGACACTAGTAATATACCTATGTGACCCTTTGAGAACTATCAGACCAGCTTTCAGAGTCTTAGGATTGTTGGTCTTGTGAACTGATAAATTATAGAACTGGGCAATGGTAAAAACAGTCACAAGTTCAAGAAGTTCAGGTTTTTAAAACAGATATCCTGTAATGTCATGTGATTTTTAAATGATTTACACAACTACATAAATGCATTTATAACAAACAGAAATGATGCTACTTGCCAAATTTTTTCTGGCAAATAAAAAAAAAGTATTTTATTAAGACTGTCATAAGACTGAAATTTTATCTGAAAAACTGAACAGCCTAACTCTTTTTTTTTTTTTTTTTTTTTTTAGGCATACTGAATTTCTGTTTTAAAATCCATTGCATGAAAATTCAATTTGCCTTGGTATATGCAGTTAGCATTGCCATTTTAAAAATGAATTAAAATGATGACTCTGAAGTTGCATGAATATCTTCCAGTGCATTACCTATTGCATGTCCACCATAGTTCTCAAAGGGTTAGTGTGGCTTCTGGCATTTAGCCATCCATTTGATCACTGACAGAGCCAAGAGACCACCAAAGCATTTCATTGTTGAGTGTAATTTGTCCTAACAGCAGTATTGTCATTTTCATGTGACCTGCAGAGCAGGTTTGTATCAATATTTTTTTCCTAGAGAAAAGTCAGCAACTGACAGACCTCTTTATTGATTTTTAGGAGCTGCTTCTTGCAGTGAAAGGCTTTACAGCCACTGGGCTGTGAACTTTATTAGAGATGGTCAGAATGAATGCACCCCATGAGTCAGACATTGGCTTTGTGTGAAAGCCAGCTTTGAGGGGATTAGCTTTTGAAACAATGAACAGCTTGCCTTGAACTTGATTATTGATCTATTGACTGTCATTAACAACAACTTAAACATTGTCTTCTGTGAAAATTTTCCTTGAAGAGTCCTGTTCTTTGTCTTTGCCCTTTGACCTTTAACTTGCAAACTGGCACAAACTGAAGGAAATCTGGTATTGCTTCTCCATTGGATTAGTTGTTCTATAAAACCTAGTAAGCATGAGCTGTTTCCTTAGAGTGAAAAGAGTGTTGTTGGCAGATCTGCAGATGGACACTTTGCTCTTTACATGCACACTCTGAAAATGCCCTATAGGTAGAAGTGAATTTTAATTTTATTTTAATATAATTTCAAGTCTAAATTCATCATTTTAGTACAAATTACAAAAACTATAGAGAAAAAAAAAAAACCTCAAATACTTGAATGGCCAGTGTGGCTTTTATATAAAGCAGGAATTTTATACTAGTAAAAATTTCTTACTCATTTGCTAATATAACACATTTCCAGATGATTTTTAATGAGTGTAGGTATACATTCTTATTTGGAAATGGATAGTTTGGCTGCCTTGAATTTATATTTATACTCAACATAGCATGAAAAGTAGAATGCCTTTTGGTTAAACTACATGTTTATGATTTGGTTGGGGAAAATATTTTATAATTGTGGGTGGCATGCTGCAAAGCCTTGCAGATTGTTATTTCTTACGACCTGGGCATATATACTGTGAGGCTAAGAAAAAAGAACAGCAGGAAAAGAATGGCTTTACAGTGAAATATTATACAATGTAGACGATATTTTAAGATGATATTGGAGATTATGTATGCAAGGGCCAAGAAAGCAAGAAAAGAAAACCAGAGTCAGCCCTGTAGCTTTACTTCAGTGCTTCCATTCTAGATGATGCTGATATTATAAAGAGTTAGTCACTGCTGCTAAGCATGGAGGACTATATACATAAGCTCGTTTATACAGTGTTTGCTTGTGGGAGGGTTTAATCCTTTTTGGGCCTTGATGTCAAGAAAAAAATAATTGGAAACTATATTTTGCTAAATATAGAAATGAGGAACTGTTTCATTTTGGGACATGTGCAAATCATTGAGAAACTCCATCAACCTGCATTGAAAATGGATTTTTTTCCTCTAAAATGAGAAAGAAACTGAATAAGCAATCTATTGCCTCTTTACTCATTCATCACAATATCCTGATTTGTCATAAGATTATAAGCATATAAGGGCTAGAAAATAATCACAGCATTAAGAAGGAAGGAGTCTATCATTATGTTTGAATTCTGGCAAATGTCATAAATGAGGGTTGGGTAGTATTTACTTGAATATGAGACAAGATTTACATGATAAGCAAAGGCATATATGGCTGCTCTTTTGACTAGAACATTTCAGTTATCAGGCTGTATAATTACAAGAGATAAGAAAACATTAAGTACAATGTAATCACAAACCCTGGGATTCCATTTGTTTATTGTACAACAGGTACTTTGTGGGTATGGTTCCTGACTCCTCTTCCACTTGGGGTTTGGGGAAAAAAGTCTCAATCCAAATGGAACAGTGAAAAGAAAACTGATCTAGCACATAAGAATAGTGATTCAAAAACCAATGTGAAATAAATTTCCATAGGTCAATAATATAAGGTGCCAGTTCAGTATTCATAGAGATATGTGAGGCATCAAATATTTTTATCACATCATTACTAATAACATGAAAAGCTCAGACATAGGGTTTCCCAAATCGAAATGAAAACACATTCATGCTTGCAAAAATAATTCTCCTTCTGCTTCATTTCTCGTTACTTTATCTAATATAAACACGAATGTAAAGGTAATGTTCTTTACATAAAATGACCATATAGCTAAGAATTTTAGTAAAATACTTTTGCTCTGCATATTATTAAACACAATAAAGTATTAAAATAGCTGATCAGTTTGAATTTTCTGCAAAACAGAAATTCCACATCAGAATTGTAGATAAGGTTGTGAATTTAACTATTGACTCATTTCAGAACAGTGTCTGTTGACATGGCAGTCAGAGCAGGTGAATACAGACACTCTTTCTGATTGCAAAGGTTATAGAGATAAATTAGACAGCATTATGTGTTACTAGCAAAGACAACTTCTGTTGTAAATCAGAGGGCAAGGCTTTACTGAATCAGATGTAATAAATTACTAAGTAATGATTACCAAAAAATAATTACTAAGTAATGAAGGATATAGACTGGCTTACTGAAATAAGTAAGTGTTATATTTAATAAATTACCTGTAATCTTTTTTTGTTAACACGTAATTTGGTCATTTCATATACTACATGCCTATTTTCATTACTTCTCTGTGGGTGATTAAAAAACACAATGTGGTGGATAAGAACATCATCTGAAATTCACTGCTAGTTCCAATGCATAGATGATGGTATATATACTGGATGATAGAAGTAGTAATATTTGCAAGTTCTACATATTATGGTGATATCTCTGGTGTGGTACAAAAACACACCCACACTTCGTGAATCTTACAGTGGAATAAATAGTGTGTCCATATTAACTAAACTCAAAGTGCTATCTGAAGAGGAATGGATGTTATATGTCACAAAAATATATATATTTTAAAGTTTTTGGAATCATTTCCAGAAACTAATAAAAAGAATTATTTACTGGTAGTATCAAGTCTGTGAGATTGTAGCATGTACTGAAACAATCTTCTGGATGGTGGTAAGGTCTTTTTTAGCAAACACAGTAAAGAGCTTATTTCACTTCTGATGCTTTCAAGGGCATATTCCGAAGTATCACAGATGTCAAATAGCATATGCTATCTAAACCAAAAATGTAAATTTCTGATGACCTATTACAGCAATCTCAGCCAGTATGTAATATCACAAAATGTGTCAAGTCAATCATATTAGAGGATCTACTCATTCAGATGGATTTCATGCACTTTCATGATGTTGATATATTGTGACTACAGGAAATAGATGCCAGAACGTATGTAGCTAAGTTACAGTTTCCACTTTGCCTGGGAGGGAATCATAATTACATCAGGAAATGTTTAACAGTTATGTCTAAAAATTAGAATTTTATGTAATAAAGCAACAACCAGGAATAGTACCACACCATAAATATGAAAACTATTATATTTAATAAATATAATAGAAATGGAGGAGGGGGAAAATGAGTCTTTTGTTAAATATAAAGACAATCTATAGCACTCCTTGATAATACAACTAGAAATTTTACTTTAGCAAGCATAAAATACTGGAGAAAAAATGCAGCTTTAAGCTCTTCACACTAACGATGATTATGTGATATATCATTGTATATATTTAGCCAGTGGTCATTAGATGTTACCATGCTTAAACACATCTGATACTCATGCATTGCCTTACAGGCTAAAAATCTAAGAGGTAGGTATTCAGTAACCTCAGTTGGAAAGACATATAATGTTAGAATCCCCTGAAACAAGCCATTTCCCTGAGATAGAAATTTACCTCAATAATCATGTAACCTAAAACACTTGGCATAGTAGCAAAGAAGTTGCCTTAGTGTTCTAGTCTCATCTAATTATGACCTCTGTCTTTCATGTACTTCTGAAATTATTTTCCATTTTTTTCATTTGTGTGATTTTGACACAATTCTGAAATATTTCAGGTAAGATTAATAACATCCAATTACAAATATGTTTCAATATTTTATACATATGTGTACTTTGAAAGTTCAACCAATAGTATAGAAAGCTTAAGAATGAACACTGATTAGACAGTCACAGAAATTAAAGGAAAAATGATATTGTAAAACTCCTGTCAAATTTCTAGTAAAATACGACACACATAGCAGTTATCAATTTTTAAACACAATTATGAGCTTATAACTGAACGTGACATGCATCATTTGTGAGAACAATACTAATTCTTTATACTACAGTAAGAATACAAGATCACAGAAGCTTAGTGTTGTAACCGAGACTTCACAGGCGTTCATAACTAATGCTTTCTAAGGAAAATGAGGGCATAACCCAGAACTCGTGGTCAGTGCATAGTGAGTATAAAAGTTATGTATGAAAGACATTTATTTATAGAGATTTCTGAGGATTCTATGCCTTTTCAACTTAAAGATCAGTGTGACTTAGAATTTATTTTATATATCATTGGACTGGGGGTAATATTCCAATGTGCACTCAACATGCTCTCACATTAAAAGGCACATTGAATAGTATAGGAAAATACATCATAAACTAGAATGTTGTGCAGATTCATATAACTTTGTCATGTGCTCTGCTATAGAGCTGGATGTATATGCCCTTAAGAAGGGATAATAAATCAATTAAATATAAATATGAAAATATACTTATGTTGGGTAGCTTAGCTTCATAGCAAAATGTCATTAACCTTTATTTCACAGAGAAAAACTGAAAGAAAAGAATGATGAACAAGAATACAATGATAAACTTGGATTATAGAGATGTTTCTTGGGAATTTTTTCCACTTGTTTTTATCCATGAAAAAAAAATACAGACATTTCTGTAGTATTTCGTCTGTGGGTAGGTTGGATCCCAGGTAGAATACTTTTTGACACAGGCCTTTTTATACATACTTTATATGTGATGAAGCTTTGATGAGATGTGACTGCATGGTAGGATGCATTTTCCTAGGATAGGATATGGTGCTGCGTGTACTTGCCACCCTTTATATGAATGTACGTCGCTACATTGGCCTGTCTTGCCAAGATATGGATGAATAAAGCCTGGTGTGAGCTGTCTATTTGAAATGTCACTAGGATGCATGTTTCATTTGCTGTTACGTAATGCCAATTTGAACCTGTTTCCTCTCTATATATGGACAACCCAGTTGTTAAGATAAAATATACTTTGCTTGAATGAACGATTTTGGTGGTAATGTGAGAGTTAGCCTTAAATCAGTGTTATAGTTTTTGCTATTACTGAAATATCATCACAGAGGCCACATTATTGGCTGTCTTCTCACAGCTCTTTAGCATACACCATTGCCTGAGCAAAATTAGGTTTTTAGGTATTTTTGGCTTTTACTTCCTTTATAGCTGATACGGAATCAATTATTTCTTTATATGTTCATAAGTACAAAATTTCACTATCTTAATTACTTCCAAACAATCATAATTTCCAAGCAAGTATGTGTGTGCCTGGTTTTTCTGCTCCTCCAATTCTAAGATCATTATTTGTTTGCCTTCTGTTTGTCACCCAAAAATACAGATATTTGGGAAAGATACATCTTATTGAGTTGTCTTATGCAGTCTCTGTCTATATTTGCATTTCCTTCTATTTCTACCTTGTCTTTTGTTTTTTTAAACACAGATTTGATTTTCCTTTCACTTTGTGAAAACCAGAATTGAGCAGCATTGTACATCAGAGATGGTACCCAGGAAA